ATGTCAAAAGCCTTACTGAAGTTCAGGTAGACAATATCTGTGGAACAGTGGCTGAATGAGAAGGGACATAACCTGATTGCAATGAACAATCCAGCCCTTGCAATGGGCTGCGAATAAAAGCCTTAGCTGCAGGCCTGAAAGTAACCATGAAATCTCCTTGAATCCCCTAAGAAGCAGAAGCAGCAGAACCAAAGAAAAGATAAGAGGAGCTATCTCCGTGAGCAGGGGAGTGAACAGTGTTACTTCATGCCGCGTGGACACGAGACGTGTACCAATTAAAAATTATCCGATACGCGTGGACACGAGACTTGTACCAATTAAGAATAACTCGATATGCGTGGACATAAGTTGTAATCCAATCATAGATGTGTGGCTTAGTGCATGGCTTTCTGCTTGTCTATAAATATGCTGTAAAAACTTAAATAAAGGGAGAACGACCATACTCATATTGAGGCTACGTCGTTACTCGGGGCCCGACTCTCACTCCGACAAATATCCACTGCTCCCTCATCTGCCAGGCCAGTCATTTAATTGTAGAGGTTTGCCAAATTTGTCAAGCATGACTTTGCCTTTGTGAATCCAGGTTGAGTACTCCTTATGATTTTCTTGTCCTTAATATCCCTGGAAATGGTTTCCAGGATTAGCTGCTCCATCACCTCTCTTGGGATTGAGATGACACTGACTGACCTGTAGTTCCCTGACGATTCCTTCTTGCCCTTCTTAAAGTTGAGGGTGACATTTGCTTTCCTGCAGTCTTCAGGCATTTCTCCCAGCTGCCATGGTCGATCAGAGATATATTGAGAGTGGCCTTGCACTGACAGCAGCCAGCTCCCTCAGCACTCATGGGTGCATCCTATCAGGGCCTGTGGACCTAGGTGTTTCCTATTTGCAGAAGAATTCACTGACCTGATCTTCCTTCACCAAGAGTACATCTTCCTTACTCCAGCCTTCCCCCCTGGTTTCTGGGACTTGGTATTTCTGAAGGCTGATCTTGCTAGCAAAGACTGAGGCAAAGAAGGCATTCAGTACCTCAGCCTTTTCCACATTTTGTATAAGCAGGTCCCCTGTCTCCTTGAGCAATGGGCCCACATTTTCCTTAGTCTTCCTTTTGTCGCCCATGCACTTAAAGAAGCCCTTCATGTTTTCTTTGACATCCCTGGCCAGATTCAATTCCATTTGGGCTTTGACTTTCTAACTTCGTCCCTGGATGCTCGGGCAATGTCTCTGTATTCCTCCCAGGTTATCTGTCCTTGCTTCCACTGTCTGTAGGCTTCCTTTTTGTGTTAGAGTTTGGCCAGGAATTCCTTGTTCATCCATGCAGGCCTCCTGGCATTTTTGCCTGCTTCATATTCATTGGGATGAACTGCTCTTAAGCTTGAAGGGGCTGATCCTTGAATATTAACCAGCTTTCTTGGGCCCCTCTTCTCTCCAGGGCCTTATCCTATGAGATTCTTCCAAGCAGATCTTTGAAGAGGCCAAAGTCTGCTCTCCTGAAGTCCAGGGTTGTCAACCTGCTTTTTACTCTCCTCCCTGCCCTCAGAATCCTGAACTCCACCATCACCTTGTCTCTACATCCGAGGCTGCCTTTGATGTTCACATCCCCAACAAGGACCTCGTCGGTGAGTATGAGGTCCATAAGAGCACTGTTCCTCATTGGCTTCCCTATCACTTGGAGGAGGAAGTTGTCACCAGTTCATTGCAGGAACCTCCTGGATTGCTTATGCCCTGCTGTGCTGTCCTTCCAACAGATACCAGGATGGTTGAAGTTCCCCATGAGGGCCAGGGCTTGTGAATGTGAGGCTGCTCCTATCTGTCTATAGAGGGCCTGATCCACTTCTTCCTGGTCAGGTGGCCTAACAGACACCCGCTACAATGCCACCTTTACCTGTCCTCTCTTTTACCTGAATGAGGTTCTGTTACTTCCTTCTGCTGCTGATTTTTTACCCCCCACCTTTCACACTGATTCACTAGGGAGGAAAAGGATAGAAATTGTAGAGGCAGCCATCCAGGTTCTTCAGAACTTCTTCCTCCTCTCAGTTGAAATTAGAACATGATCTATTTTTTACTTTTTTGAAACGTTTCTCTGCTAATGAGGGCTGCATGGTCTTAAAAGAAGGTATTCTGCCAAGATATAATGTAGATTCAGTTTAAATTTATTTTTTGATTTGACTATAGTATTGCTGTAGAATGCTTACTCTGCAGTGCTTATGGGATCTAATAATGGTCACATGCTAAAGTCATGCCATTCTTGGATCAACAGAATTAAAAAAATTGTAGTTGAAAGATGAGGTTTTAATGAAAAGTAGTTTCTGCTCATGTTTAAGCATAAACTATTTTATGTGTCTTAAGGCAAGTCTTTTAATATGTCTACACAAATGTGCATCTTGACAGTTTTAGTGAGAAGATGCTGTTCACATATACATACAATGCATATGCGCAGCATCTTTTTTTCTTTTAAATGGAGTTTGAAGAAAAAATTTGCAGCGTATTAAAATTTGACTTTTTTGAAAGTGTACTTCAGAAGAAGATGTTCTAAGAGTGTATGTTAGAATATAGTACAATTTAGGCGTTAGCTTTTGCCACAAGGAGTTTGTGTTGTCTGTTCTTTGTTGACATGAACACTGAACCATGCCAGTTTGAGTGTTCATGTCAGAAATTGAACATGTCAGCTTTACCAAAACTATAACTGGAGTAATCTTACTCTTGGATCATCTGTTAACCTAACTTAAAATACGTTTTGTTATTACTGTAAGATGCAAGGTGGGGAAATGAATTAATCATTTGACATAATTATTTCACTATAATAGTAATTATCTTGAAGCAATTTTTTAAAGGCGTTTTAGAGAAATATCTTCAGTTGCTTTCACTTTGATTAAAATGGGATAATTTTACTGTTTTGATCATCATATCTTATAGGGATGCTTCCTTTGGTACTTGCAGTTTTCATCTGACATTGCTGGACTGTTTTCATGCAATAAGCAAGGTCAGTAAAACAATATTTTTTGTATTGCAAAAGGTCAGCTAAATATTGCCCAGCAGAAAAAGAAGGCTTAGGAAGCTAGGATGCAATTAGAGCTGTGCAGTAGCAGATTTTCTGATTATTGGCTAGCTTATTATGTATCGTGCATTGTAACAAAACTTCTAGATACAGCATCCATAGAAGTCGACCTATACCTTATATAATTAACTAGTGAAGATGTTCAAGAGGAAATTTTGAGGTTTATTTATGTAACCTTTCAGGACAGTAATTCATACCTCTAATCCCTAAGAGTTGTTTGATACGTTTATTATATGCCCCACTGGTGTGACATTTTAGGCTGAATATAGCCTTTGAAAGTGGTTTGGAATTGGTTAGTGATACTTTTTAGGCATTTGCAGCATGTGCTAATGACTCCAAGTTTTGCTTTGGTAATACAAATACAACAAACGTTAGGGGGCTGGTGGTTTTTTTTTTAAACTATAAATTATCATCATGCAGTGTTTTATAGCAATACAGTGGTGAAGTAACGTAGCATTGAAGAACAGGGGAATTTATATGCATTCTTTTTAGTCCGTATGAGTAATGAAATGGGGAATTCTGCATCTCTCCACCCTACTACTGTCTTTTGTATTATGGGTATTTGCCAAATACTGATGCTTTTGCTGATTAAGCCAGCTTCTTGCAGATTTGTTATTTTCAGCTTTTTTGGATGTTTTGACATTGGCTGCTTGGATGCCAAAAGTAGTGAATTGCTGTTCTTCTTAGTACTGATGAACAGCAAGGAAAACTATAGAAGATTATGCAGTGAAAGAGGAGATTGGAATGTAGTATCTCAAATATCTGGAGATATGAGATTATCTGTGTTTGTGCTTCCTGACTAAACAAGTGGGTAAACTGCCAGTTACCTGAGTGTTTACATTTTTATACAGTATTAAATATAAGCAGACTAGGACTGTGTGTCTGCAAACAACTTAAAATCAGTGAAGATATTACATCCTAAGGAGAGTGAATAGCATTCATGCACAAAAATGTTTGCAATCCTTGAATGCAGACTTTAGAATGTACTCATAATTTCAATAGATTGTTTTTGCCAGTAATTTTTCTCTTTTTTTTTATTTTGTACCCCTAGCAGTGACAAAAAGTGTTTCTGTAGTCTGGAATTTTGTAGCAATTCAGTGAAAACAGAAAAGAGTGGATTTGCTTGTCTAACTTCACTTATATTAAAATTTACAAATCTGTTTTGAACCAAGACTGAGTTGATCTGTATTTTGTCAAATATATGAAGAAGTCTCTCTGAAAGAGTGGAACAGATATTAAGGAGTTTTCAGTAACCTGGAATAGTGATAAACTGTCCATATTGAAAAGATGTTGTCTTTGTTAAAAGCTGTATTCTGAATTTTAGGCTTTGCAATATGGTTTCCTGGATTTCAATACATTTGATGTAAATGAATATGAGCATTATGAAGTAAGTGTTCAGTATCAATCTTCTGATTTGTTTGCTGTTACTAATGCTAAGATGATTGTTTATAATATGTGCTAGTTTTTTTGTAGTATTAGATTCCATTTCTGTTTTGTCTCTTTAAACTTTGATTGTTAACCAAAAGTGTGTGGTCAGAGAGAGAATATTAAAATTCAGATTTAAGCCTCGTCAGCCTCAAACATGGGGGGGGAAGCAGAAACCAAAATGGAAATAAATACTTTTTCCCATTATTATTAAAGCCCTGGAAGATGACTGAGGAGTGGGAATTTGGCCACCTTTTAAAGGTCATGCGTATTCTTGAGCAGTCTTGATGAGAAACTCGAGGGCATACAAGTACAAGTCTAAGTGAATTCTGGAGACCAATTAAAGTATGTTTCTGTGAACACATGGCAAAGGTGTAATAACACCCTTTGAGGTAAAGAAGGAAATAGGGCTGGGAAACTCCAAGCCTATAAAACTCACTTTGAGGCATGGGAAACGAATATGATAATGAAGGACTGCAACTCTTGACTGCGTGCAGTCTCAGAAATGCAAAACTGCCCGTTATCTGTAAAGAGAAAATTAAGTGTTCTTAGAATCTAAAAAATCATGATGTAAATTGTGAACAGAGATAAGGCCAAGGTCATAATTTAGAAACCTATAAAAAATGAAAAATTGGAAGTTGTCCTTCATCTGAAGGACATCAGTTGTGTTGTTCTAAAACTCCAATTTAGAAAGAGGAGAATACAGGCAAGAAAAGTGAGGGTGAGAGCATCTAGCATCCTCCCAGTGGAACAGAAGGCAGGTGACTGACATAACTTCCTTTGGCAAATATTGTACATCATTTCTATCTAGCATGTATTTTGAAACAATAAGGAAAAGCCTGAAAATACAGGGATAATGATAAACCAAGCATTTTCTCTTGACAGAGAGCAGAAAATGGAGATTTTAACTGGATAATACCAAACAAATTCATTGCCTTCAGTGGACCTCATTCAAGAAGTAAAATTGAAAATGGTATGCTTAAAAAAGGAGGTGGGGACACAAGCCCACTGCTTTCTTAGTTAATTGTTATCAGTAAGAACAAGCTTTAGAAATTGTTCCTCAAACACTGTGTTTTTTCCTTGGCTCTTTTTCTTTTATAAGAACTCTGGCAGTAAAATTTTAATGCTTGGTTTAATTGTATCTGACCTAGGTGATTATGTTAAAATTCCATTTTCGGTTAGCCGATTTCTTTGTGTTGAACATGAGTTGTATTTTGAAGTGTTTTCATCTCTTGTTTTTGAGTCTTTGTTTATTTCTGCAGTTTGAGTCTTACTCTCTTCTTTTTTTTTTTCCTTCTTCTTTCAAATAGGCTATCCCCACCATGCTCCAGAAGCTTATTTCCCATACTTCAGGAAGCATAAAGTCACCACTATAATACGCCTCAACAAAAAACTGTATGAAGCCAAACGATTTACAGATGCCGGATTTGAGCATTTTGACCTCTTCTTTGCTGATGGAAGCACACCCAGTGATACTATAGTTAAAACATTTCTAAATATTTGTGAAAATGCTGAAGGTGTTATAGCCGTTCATTGCAAAGGTATAGTGTAAAAACAATTTATATTACAAGTAATGCTTGTAGTTACAGTTCCTGAGGTATTTTGCATTATAGTTCCGTTATATCTAGTTACTGGTATCTCTGCCAAACTGCAGCTTTGCCATACAAATTCTTTCTGTGCTTCTGTTCTGCACTTCTAATTCTTTTAAGTTCGAGAAAAATCTTCCGAGCTGTTTCCAAGAATGCGGCTGGGGAAAGTGAGCTGGCCAATGTTAACAGCTCTTTCTGCTTGAAAGTTTTAGCACTTTCAAAGGATGCTTTTAAGCAGGCATTTGAAGTCCTGGCAAGGTTGATACGTGTTTCTGAAAATACGCAGTTAAATAGACCAAGTCATGAACTTTTGAAAATAACAGTGCAGCTTTTTGAGGAGATTCATAGATTCACAGAATCATAGAATGGTTTGGTTGGAAGGGACCTTAAAGATCATCTCATTCCAGCGCCTCTGCCGTGGGCAGGGCTATCTTCCACTAGATCAGGTTGCTAAAAGCCCCATCCAGCCTGGCCTTGAACACTTCCAGGAATGGGGCATCCACAGCTTCTCTGGGCAACCTGTTCCAGTGGCTCACCACCATCATGGTGAAGAATTTCTCCCTTACATCTAATCTAAATCTTCCTTCTTCCAGTTTAAAGCCATTGCCTCTTGTCCTAGCATTACATGCCCTTGTAAAAAGTCTCTCCTCAGCTTTCTTGTAGGCCCCTTTGGGTACGGGAAGGCTGCTTTAAGGTCTCCCTGGAGCCTTCTCTTCTCCAGGCTGAACAACCCCAACTCTCTCAGCCTGTCTTCATAGGAGAGGTCCTCTAGCCCTCTAGTCACCTTCGTAGCTCTCCTCTGGATTTGCTCCAAAAGGTTCATGTCATTCTTGTGTTGAGGGCCCTAGAGCTGAAGGCAGTACTGCAAGGGGGGTCTTAGCAGAGTAGAGCAGAGGGGGAGAATCACCTCCCTTGACCTGCTGGCCACGCTTGTTTTGATGCAGTCCAGGATACTATTGGCTTTCTGGGCTGCAAGCGCACATTGCCAGGACATGTTGAGCTTCTCATCAACCAGCACCCCCAAGTCCTTCTCCTCAGGGCTGCTCTCAATTTGTTTTCCACCCGGTCTGTATTTGTGCTTCAGATTGCCCCAGCCCAGGTGCAGGACTTTGCACTTGGCCTTGTTGAACTTCATGAGGTTCGCACAGGCCCACCTCTCAAGCTTGTCCAGGTCCATCCCTTGCCTCCAGCGTGTTGACCACACCACACAGCTTGGTGGTGTTGGCAAACTTGCTGAGGGTGCACTCAATCTCACCATCCATGTTGCCAACAAAGATGTCAAATAGTGGCAGTCCCAATACCAACCCCTGAGGAATGTCACTCGTCACTGGTCTCCACGTGGACATCAAGCCGTTGACCACAATTCTTTTGAGTGTGACCATCTAGCCAATTCCTTATCCACTGAGTGATCCATCCGTCAAATGCATATCTCTCCAATGTACAAAGATGTCATGCAGGACAGTGTCAAA